GTAGGGCACTCAAGTCAACCGCAATACCGAGGAACATGCCTTGTACACCTGCAGGACAGTACTCTGTGACCCCCCTGACATGATAGAGCCCAAGCAATGTTGTAGGCGCCGACATTTTCCCTACAATGTTGTGGGCGCCATCAACTCCCATACCAGACAACACGGTAAGGCTCCCCCCACGTGCCTCTGAGGCATCAACAATGTTGTGGGTGCCAGCATTTACCGTGCTAGGCGAACATGATAAAACCCCCTGCATGCCTCTCGGCATCAATAGTATGGCAGGTACCGACATCTGCCATACCCTGAAGAAGACGACGCAACCTCCCATGTGCATCTGACATTCAACAATATTGTGGGCGCCTACCATCATCTTGTATCCACTGGCATGGGCAGCAAGACTTAGTAGCGAACGTACTCCCTCCCTCTCACTTGTAAGGCCATCCCCTTCATCTATAAAAGGGGATGCGCTCTCTTCCAACAGATAGGTTGATTAAGATCGATCAAGTTCACTAGTACACAACAACAGAACCACCAGATTCAAACCTCGAGCACACGCTCGAACACATAACGCATAGCGGAGTTCCCGTCACTCTCGATCCCTCTGACCAGAGTCCGATCGGACCTCTTGTAGCCCCCATCTTTCTCCTTCTCGTTTGTAACCCCACTGCAAACTTCGAGCACCTGGCTCAAGAATAAAGTCATCAACCGACTCAAACTAGACATAGGGCACATTGCCTGAACCAGTATAAACCCTGTGTCATTGAGTGCTAGGCCACCTCCGATCACAACGTACGACAAAACTACAAATATTTACGTATTGGTCACTTTCTGCACCGACAGAATCCTTACATGAGACTAGAGAAAATGACTCATTGTAATCTATGCCTTCTCTCTCTTTGCGTGAAGCCTTTCGCCACAAGTCGCACTTTAAATCTTTCTACATTCCCTTTGGAGTCATATTTAGTTTTATAGAGCTATTTACAGCTTACTGTCTTGGCTCCTTTAGGAATTATTTCTAAGTCCCAAACACCATTGGTATTCATTGATCTCATTTCATCTTGCATGGTTTCAAGCCACTTTGATGAGTGAGCGCTTCTCATGGCTTCTTCAAATGAGGTGGGATCACCCTCCATTTAAAATTCTTCACATTTATAGACTCCGTAGTCATCAGGATTAGGCTAGTTTTCTAACTCTTTGAGATCTTCTAGGGGCCTCGTTAGTTTATGTTTGTTCTATATGAGGCTATTGTTGCTCTTCCTCTTGTGTGACAATGGGTTCTACAGGATCCTGAAGGACAGGTTCCTCATGTTCATTCATTATTGCCATGGGAGAACTAACAACAAGTGATGTTACTACAATGTCTTGCACTGTTGTTGCAGCAACAACAGGTAGCGTGAAGAATGGTTCCTAAACCATCAGAGTAGGCGCATGTACCCACTTCTCCTCTAGGTTAATTTCTCGCGCTACCTTGCTCACCTTGATTAACTCTTTCCTCCGATAACACAACATGTCTTGTTTCTACAAACTTCGTATATCCTGTCAGGACAATAGAAGCGATAACCTTTTGACTTTTCTAGATACCCAATAAAATAGCAACTGACTGTCTTGGAGTCTAGCATCCCTATGTTTGGGTTAAGGACTTTAGCCTCAGCTGGATAACCCCACACACATAAATAGTTAAGTGAGGGTTCTTTTCCTCTCCACAACTCATATGGTATTTTGGACACCGACTTGCTTGACACTCAATTGAGAATATGAATGGCGGTTTTTAACACCTCCATCCATAAACTTATCGGTATAGTAGAGTAACTTATCATATTTCTCACCAAATCTATTAAGGTATGATTGCATCTTTCAGCTACTCCATCCTCCTGAGGCTCGCCGGTGTAGAGTACTGGCAACTATGTCATTTTCCTATAAGAACCTTGCAAAAGGTTCAGGAACTTGGCCATATGGGGTGTGTCAACCGTAGTACTCCCCCACAGTTGGATCTTACTATCTTAATCTTTAAATTGTACTGATTTTCTACTTTAGCCTTAAATATCTTAAATTTATCCAATGCTTCTGATCTTTCCTTAATTGAATAAATATAGCCATAACGAGAATAATCATCTGTGAATGTTATAAATGAATCATAATCATCCACACTCTTCACAGGAAAAAGCACCACATATATCTGTGTGAATTATTTTTAAAATTCTTGCGCTTCGTTTGGCATCTTTATTTATTTTCTTAACATACTTTCCTTTTATGCAATCAATGCATTGTTCTAAATCTAAAAATTCTAATGGCGGAAGAATTGATTTCTTAATCAATCGCTCTATTCTCCCTCTCAAAATATGGCCTAAACGATAGTGCCATAATTTTGATGATACATCATGAACTCTCTTCCGCTTATTTCTTGCATTTATAGACGAGGAGGCATTCTCATTCTCAGTATTCACAACTTTCGCATTATCACAAAGTGATAGCAAATAAAGCTCGTCTTGTCGGAAGACAAGACCAACATATTTATTATTAAACATAATCTGATTAGCCATTACCAAAATGGCAATCAAATCCATCATCGTCTAAGATTGAAATTGAAATTATATTCCTCTTCATAGAGCGTATATAAAAGGCATTCCTTAAACTAAGTGTGAAGTCGTTGTTAAGCTCTATGAGAGTTGACCAACAGATTCCTTATCAACTTCGACGTCATTTGCAACTTTTATTGCTTTGTCTCCTTTTCTTGGATTAATTATATCCCTGAAGCCCTTTCTTTTCAAGCCATTCTTTAAAGAGAACACAATCCCTTACGCAATGGCCTTCTTTCTTACAGAACTTACACTTTTCATCTTCTGAGTCACAAGTACCCAACTTATTTTCTTTACTGCCTTCAAGGATGAAAGCAAGGAGATCTTTGTCTAAAAAATATTAAACAATAATCAACAATAATGAGCATGAAAATAACCCTACGTTGGTCTGGTTAAAAACATGCCCATTAAACTTTTAAATCTTTCAGTTCTATTCTATATCACCGATGAACAGAAAATAGAATAAAACATCATTCTTCTACATTAATTCTACATCACCGTTGGACAGAAATAGAATTAATGCATAAAACTCGTAAATAAAATTATAATATTGCTATTAACAACTTTGGTCAGAAAATTAGCAATATCATAAATTACTAAAAAATTGTAACTGCTCTTCAAATTAAATCCTCTCGTTGGTTCGAATTTAATTGGAAGACAATAAACACCAACTTTGCAGCGGAAATGAGAAAAATAATCTTAAAATAATATTATTCAGAAGCATTTTTCTATACTCATCTACTATCTGAAAAAATTATTCTGTTGGTTTAAATTTTGACAGAGATTTAAAACTTCAAAATCAACTAAAATTCATTCTAATTTCGCTTCTGAAATGATAAAACAAAAAAATTCCATTCTAAATTTGGCCCGAAGGCCCTTCACGCGACTCTGGCGTTTCCTCATTACCAACAGCATTGCAAGGCTATGCGGCCTAAGGAGGCCTTTGTCATGGCAGCCAAGTAAGCCGCCCTTCTGTGGAGACGGCCCAAATGCACACAAGCTCTCTCCCCGCACCCCGAGCCACAATGTGGGTGCTAGGGTGGATTTTTCTTCCCACTTAGGCCGAAGCGGCCCGGCCGATCGTGGCCATCCATTTGCATCCGATGGTCGAGCGGCGATTTCGCGAGATCAAAACTCGCCTCCCGACCGGCGTTCACCCAAACCCTAGGTTCATTCTCTCCCTTACCTTCTCTCTCTGCGTCGCATCGAGCGACTATGGTGCGTGGCGGGGCGCAGCCGCCCTGGCCATCGGCGACGGCTGACAAGTCCCGATCGGCTCCCCTTTTCTTCCTTTCTTGCTCCTATTTCTTCTTCTCCAAGCTCGTTATCGAGCGAGTGCTATCTAGGGTTTCTATGGTCGCTCGTGGAGGCCGGAGAGATGGAGGCGCTGCCGCAGGACCCTCGCTGGCGCGCGTGCTCGCCGGAGGTTGAGCGTGCCTCCGTCGAGCGGGCCTCGGGTGGTGCCCTTGGCCCGAGCCCAAGGCGGAGACACACGACGGTGAGTCCTCGTGCCCGCAGTGGCTTAGGGCGACTTCCCGCGCGGCGTCGAGGCGACGACCGGCGGTGGTGACAGTGCGGGCGGTTCCCAGGTAGGAAAGCCCCCTTTCTTTCCTTTCTCTTCTTCTAGGGTTAGGATTAGTCCGAATCTCAAATTTGATTCGTCTCCTTCTAATTTCTTCCCTAGTCCAGATCTAAACGCTAGTGAAGGCTCTGATACCATTGTTGGCTCTTAAGATCGTTTAGGCATAGATCTAGTGGGTGTGTTCTTTCAATTCGGGATAAATAAGCATGTAGATCAACCTAGAGCACAAACCAGAGAGAGAGAGAGAGAGAGAGGTAAGGGTACCGACCATCAGCGGGCTTGGTGGAGGTGGAAACATGTCGTCGGTGGCGTGGAGTGTTGGTGGAGTCCGGCGGGTGTAGACGTCGGGCTCGCGGTGTCTGGCGAGAGCAGGGCAACGAGATCCAGTGGCGACACCGGTGGAGCTTCACGTCGCCTTCAGCGCTACCCTCTGGATCGGATTAGGGTTTAGGTGAGCTTCTGTGGGTGGCAGCGAACCTCGTGTCGCGAACCTCGTGTCACGAGCCCCTCAAATTTCCCTCCTATTTATAGTCACGACGAGGGCTCACCACCCCAGAATGACTCCTATTTATATTGAAACGCAGTTCGGGTCCGACTTTGGGGTTGGACCGAGCCAGGTGAAGATCAATCTAACACCCTGATCCTTCGTTCAGATTATTGGTCATGGAATTACACAACAACCAAAGCACATAGAGCCGATCATTGGGCCGGGTGAAGATCAATCTAACACCCTAATCCTTCGTTCAGATTATTGGTCATGGAATTACACAACAACCAAAGCACATATATCATGGCATGTGGTAGCACTGTATGCAAGGACTAGGAGTAATTCAGCAGGCACATCACATACACATCATTCCATTCAGATTATTGGGTAGCCACAAACAAGCAAGCACAGCACTGAACAACACTGCAAGAGGCAGGACAGAGTTTACACTGACACTTGGCCGCAGCAGAGAGCTGCTGATGGTGGACTCGCGGCTGATTTGGGGTGGTTGAGCTGAGACTGCCGAGTTCAGGCGTCGGCGAGCGCGGGCGACGACGGGGTACTTGGCCTGGAACTTGGTCTCCCAGTCGGCGAGGACGCCGAGTTCCTTGTCGGTGAGCCCAGAGAGGTCCCCGGAGACGTCGGCCTCGTCCTTGGACATCTTGCCGAGGGCGCGGCTGGCCTCGCGGCCCGCGAAGACGGCGTAGGCGCCGCCGGGGCCGTAGAAGCCGCGGCCAGAGGTGACGTCGTAGACCTTGCCCCGGACGGAGACGTAGATGGGCTTGGAAGGGTCGGTGCCGTCGTACGCCCGCAGCTGCGCCGCCGTCAGCTCCGTCGCCATCGCTGGGTAGGTGCCGTGGATTGTTGGAGGAGGGGATTCGGGTCGCCGGTGGCGCCGCGCTGGGTGGGTGCCGTGGATTGTTGGATCGACTTGCGACTGAAGCGGTAGGCACCGGCGGTGTGGTGTGTGACCGTGAGAGGAGTGGGGACGGTCGAGGAGCCGCTGCGTGAAGCGCACGCGACCGAGCGATGGGTGAGTGACGTCACCAGTGCCGTCCTCTTGGAACGGTGAAACGACAAGGGCCACACGGAAGAAGATGTGGTGGGTTTGGTTGGGCCGTCCCGTCCCCTGAACTTGAAGCCTGCAACGAGTGGCATGAGGCCCACAAAGGCCGCAGTGGGCCTCAGGATTGGGTCCACTCGTGAGCGTGGGTGAACGAAGGGCTTGATTGCTTTGTTGTCCTGGAGCTTTGTCTGTGGGCCTGCCACAGGGTAGATCTTGCTCCATCTTAAAAAAATAATCACTTTTTTGAGTAATAATCAAATAATTTAAAAGTTAACCAAATCTACACAAAAATGCTACCATCTGTAATACTAAGTAAGTATCCTTATACTCCCTCCATCCAAGAAAATATACAACTCTAGCACAGTGTCATGTTTTACTACATCAAAGTTTGACCAATTATAGATAAAAAAATTATAAATATTTATGATATCAAATAAATATCATTAAATTAATTACGAAATGTATTTTCATAATAAATTAATTTAGAGTCATAACTATAAATATTATTCTCTAGAAATTTGATTAAACGTAAACTACTTTGTCTGACACGTAACCCATAGTTGCATGTTTCCCTGGACAGAGAGAGTATTAATTATGAAATATATTTTTTATGGTAAGCCTAGCTGAGACATAAATGTCGATATTATTTTCTATAAATTTATTCAAGTTCAAGGAAAGTTGACGTGTTCTAATTCTAAACCTTAATTGTATTGATTTTCGGACGGGGGTAGAAACGCATGCACCTTTGATACAGCCCTCGCCCCTCGGAGGCATCAGCATAGCCTGGCATTCAAACAATCCAGCGCTGCCATTAGCATACTCCATCTCCGGTTCGCCACTGCCCAGTTCACATGCGGAGCGAGAGCGAGCGCGAGCGCGAGCGCATCCAGGTTCCAGGACCAGTTGCCATTGGCATTGTCATTTGCCAGAAACGCGCTAGGCTCCAGAGCCGCACCCTGCCCTGGCCGGCGGGCGTCGCGAATTGAAGGGCGTGTGGTACGTGCGGCTGCTTCAAGCCCCCAACGTCGTACGTACGCCCTCACCGACGGGGCGACCAGCCGGTGCAGTAAAAACCCCTCGGTGCGCGCGGTGAGAAACGTGTGGCCGCAGGCAGGGCCTCGGCGGGATTAGGCGTTGTGGCCTTGACGCCTTGTGCCGTTGAGTGGGGAAGTGGGGGCGGGGCAGCAGCAGCAGCAGAAAGGGAGTGGGGCTCGCTCGACGGAGGCGTCGTCGCCCGCGCCCGGGATGGGATGGGATGGGATGGGGATGAGACGATGGACGGATGGAATGCTGTGGAGGCTGGGCATTGGTCGTGCGCGATTGGGAGAGGGTAGGCGCCTACGCGGCGGGATGAGGCCACGAGGGGGGCTGCCTCTGGCCATTGGTTGCCGCCCCGCGTCGCGCCAACGCCCGTTGCTGTCGCCCTCTCTCGGTCTCTCGCACACGCGCAAAAGCCCTACAAGTACAAGTCGCCTCTCCGCGCCAGCGCCGCTGCTTATCAGTTATCTTATCACCGGCTCCACGGCTTCACCACCACGCTGCCTGCGCTCGCCCATTTCTGCGCTACCGGCCGCGGCCGGTTTATTTTATCCTTGACGGTCCATGAAACTGACCACTGCCGGCGCCAGGCCGCCAGTACACTACTTGTCTCCATTTGGGCCCCATTTGGAATGCAGAAAGTTTGTAGGAAAAATATAGGATTTTGATTCTTATAGGAATTGGCACTGTAGTGCCCTTTGGTTGGGAGGATTGAGCCATAGGAACTTCGGAGGAAAAATTCGTTTGAAAGACATTTCACTGGTGAAACATGGTAAAAAAAAGCATCCACTCCAACTAAACTCATTTTTATAGGAATTGGCATCACACCGTGCCTAGGATCTTCGAGGAAAATTCCTTTGAAAGATTTTCTGAAGGAAAACATTAATGATACTGATTGGATACACCGTGCCTAGGATCGAGGTGTAGTTTGGCTGACACATAGATCACATTGTAATTAGTTAGTACTTATCACATGTAATTAGTTAGCCAGTACGTGTAGTACGTGTACTGTTGTTTCCTACATTTTTCCTATACTCATCCAAACACTCATTCCAATAAAATTTCTATGTTTTTCTTTCCTCTGTTTTCCATATACATTCCTATCATATTCCTATATTTTCCTGTTCCTGTATTTCTCAATCCTACGTTTGAAAGGGCCCTTGAAATTTGTCTGAAACTCGATGAACTTTAGCCGAATAACCTCCAGCTCCAGGATGGTTCGAGCATGTCAACTTGTCAAGGGTAGTAGGTAGGTACATGCATACATACAGGATTACAGGTCACTGTGCAGTGCTCTCGGGGCTTGCAGAGCAGTTGAGCAACACTCTCTGAACAATTTCAGTGGTTTCCTCTGAGACCGGATTTGCATTCTGGACCAGCGGTTTGTGTGGCTCACAATATTCATGCACGTCTCGCGGATTAATGGAAAATCTTCGGAAAGAACGAAAATCTCACCCGCTCATCTTCTAGAGAGTAACCGGAGATTGTAAGAGAGAAAAAGTGCGGGTGGATACTCCTGCGCCAAGATAATTGCATCTCGCTTTTTCAAGAATTCAGAGACACTAATCGTTCGTGGACGGTCTACAAAAACTTAAAAGGAGCCTTCGTCGGGAAAGAAACTTTAAAAGCCTATGCTTGTAGCCATAAATAAACAAAGCAAACTGCCCCTCTATAAATTATAAGTCGTTCTATCTTTAGGGACTGTTTGGTTTATAGCCAGAGTCTACCGCATCAAATGTAGCGTCGCTGAAGGCAAGACGATGAAAATGGCGACCACAACTATGACGAGAATCAAGTCTGAAAAAGTTTGTGTCTGCCCAATCTATACACAAACCAAACACCAACCAACTTTATGTGGTAGCCGCATGTGTTGTGTGGCAAACAGCGGTGTGGAACCAAACGACCCCTTAGCTTTTATAGGTATATAGCTTTTGATACTCATCTAGAAATGCATTATGTCTAAAAGAACCAGAATGACTTACAATTTGGAAGATACAATACTCAATCTATTCTAAATTATAAGACATTTTTGGCTTTTTAAGATATATTGATTTTACTATGTTTTTGAATATAGTGTATATCTAAGTACATAGCAAAAGTTATGTATTCAGAAAAGCTAAAACTTCTTATAATTTATTCTCCATTTAAATTAATGAGACATTTTGGCTTTTTCTAGATATATTATTTTTACATGTATCTAGACATAGTGTATATATCAGGTGCATAACAAAACTTATATATTTAGAAAAACCAAAACGTTTTATATGTAGGTAATTTTTTAGATGAAATATAGAAAAAAAAGCTGATGACCAGCAGCCGCTGGAGTGTTCAGTCTGCTGCTGCTGTCCTCTTCTCATTCTGAACGAACCGCTTCAGGTCCAGGAGGAGCAGGAGTACAGAGGGCTACCTGCTATCCTAGCTAGTAGCAGATTAGCAGCTGCCGCGACTACTATATATCCCCATAAACACCTTATCCTCTCTTTGCCTCTCCACTGCATGCCTCGCTATCTCCTCCTCCTTTCCAAGCTATACAACTCTGCAATGCCCAGGGCACCTTAGCCGTGCTCCTTCCGAGTCCCGATTGCTGGCGATAAGGTTGTTGCAGTGCACTGCAGACTGCAGTGCAGAGCTTGGTTAGCTTGGGGCGGCGGCAGCAGCCATGGCGCCCAAGGCAGGGAAGGCCAAGCCCAAGGCCAAGGGAGACAAGAAGAAGAAGGAGGAGAAAGGTGTAGCGCTCAATCCGCTGGTTCTTTCATGTGAAGGAATTGTACTCGGAGTTTCGAAATGGTTTTCTGAAGGGCCCTTTTCTGAAAGAGAGGCAAACACTGTTCCATGTGCTGACAATTGTGAATTGCTGATGGAGGAGACTGTCCAATTTGGAAATAACTTACTGTTTGCTGATTTCGTTGCTTTTTTTTTTTTTTTTCTTTTGTGTGCGTGATATGTAGTTGTATGCTGGTTTAATTAATTTGATTGTGTGGAAGTGGAACTAAACTAATGGAGGGACTCCCTTGCATGGTGCAGTGCTGCCCACCGTGCTGGACGTCACCGTTGAGACGCCGGACTACACGCATCTCACGCTCAAGGTGAGAACAGCTAGCGCCTTCTTCTTGCATGAATTTTACGGGAAGCACCGACATGTCGTGTTCAGAACATATGCGCGGGTCTGCATATATGCTCGTGTGTTCGCTGCTGCGGGCAAAAATACTTTGCGTTTATGGACTACCACCTGTGATTGCAAACCTGCAATTGTTAAGCTAAGCGCACATGCATGGAGTTCATGTGCATTCTTCTCGGCAGAAGGAGCACGTGCACAAGGGCACTTGTCCAGTATGTGACTAATAAAAAGATATGTGCAGAGTGTTAGCTTTGTGGTTCAGTGCTTGTCTGAAGAATTGCAAAGTTTCAGTGTGACCGTAATAATGATAACTTAAGCCTATTTTAGAGGAACAAACTCTTGCAAACTTACTTGTTTGTTTGAAACTAACACACATGTTTTTGAAATTAATCTATCTATTACATGTTGATGAATTGAAAAAATATATATCCGGTCCCATGCATTGCAAAAAGAAAAAGGCCAACAAAGCGCAAGGTTAAGGCGTTCTTTGCTGGGTCCATTTTACTGCATTCGTACCGACTGATGAATGCATGCATTGCCGGGTTGCCGTGTGCAGGGCATATCGACGGACAGGATCCTCGACATCCGGAAGCTCCTGGCCGTCCACGTGGACACCTGC